CTGGGGAATCGAACCCAGGGCCTCATGCATGCAAGGCCAGTGCTCTACCACTGAGCCACCTTCCCAGCCCGGGAGGAAGGGCTTTTGCAGCGGTCCCTAAGTCCTCCCTTGACCCCTCTCATCCTATCACCTTACTTTTGTCTTTATTTTTCTTAATGTGGGGAATCAAACCAAGGCCACATGCTATGTATTTGCTCTTCACTGAGCTCCCTCTATCCCACCTGACTTTTCCTATGAGTGCAGCCCCCTCCTGTGATTTTTTTTTCCCCCTTCTACCTTCCCCTGCATTCCAGAACACATGGAACCACTGGTTACAAGACCTAGCAGGATAGCTCTTGGTTTGTGAATTTGAAAGTGGCATTCACAGTATATCCCCACTCCCCCAGTGGGTTTTTCACTCACTGGTCGCTGCTTAAGTCAGTGACCCAACACCTTCGCTTTCTCTTTGCCTTTGTGGCCATCTAGCAGAAGGCTGTGTTGTCTCTCTAGGGAGCCCAGGTTTCTGGGCTTGGTTCTTGTAACTCAGCCAAGGGTAGGGAGCTGGGCAGCTGGCTTAGGGGGCATTCTGGGTCCCCTCATGCAGGACTGAGTTTCCAAGCTCTCTCCTGACACTTGCTTCCCTTAGACCTGTCCCGGAACCGGTTTCCCGAGGTACCCGAGGCAGCATGCCAGCTGGTGTCCCTGGAAGGCCTGAGCCTGTACCACAACTGCCTGAGATGTCTGAACCCCGCCTTGGGAAACCTCACAGCCCTCACCTACCTCAACCTCAGGTAGCGGGGGAGCTCACCCGTACCAGTCTCAAGGTCTCAGTGCATGGAGCGACTAGCCTTGGCCCTGTGAGGATGCCAGGCTGAGGGAATGACCTGCTGCCCCTCTCCCTTCCACAGCCGGAACCAGCTGTCATCCTTGCCACCCTACATCTGCCAGCTTCCCCTTCGCGTGCTCATTGTCAGCAACAACAAACTGGGAGCCCTGCCTCCCGACATCGGCACCTTGGGAAGCCTGCGGCAGCTGGTGAGAATGGGGAGCAGGAACCCTTGACCTCTGTGGGGGAGGGAGGGAGGCTGGGGACAGACAGGAAGCACCTCTGGGAAAGGCTTGGAGGCAGACGGGAGGGTACTTTCTCATGATCCCATTCTCATGGCTCTTTTTTCTTGCTGCTTGCTTGATCGTAGGATGTGAGCAGCAATGAGTTGCAGATCCTCCCCGCAGAACTGTGCAGCCTCCGGTCCCTGCGTGATCTCAACGTTCGCAGGAACCAGCTTAGCACCCTGCCTGATGGTAAGGAAAACAAAGACCTGGATGTATGTGTGTATATATCTGTGTGTGTGTGCACACGTGCGCAATCGCAGGCTGCTAAAAAAAAAAAAAAAAGATAGCCTAGCATATAAACAATCAAAACTTATTTCTTAAATTGTAGAAGCTAGGAGACCAAGATGAGGGTAGCAGTGTGTTCAGTAAGGGCCCTCTTCTGAGGACTTTCTTCCTTATGTCCTCAATCGCACAGAGACTTCTCTGGGCTCTTTTTGTGTGTTTGCTGGCACTGGGGCTTGAAATCAGGGCTTGGACACTCTCTTACTTCACTTTCTCTGCTCAAGGCTGGTGCCCTACCACTTGAGCCACAGATCCACTTCCAACTTTTTACTGGTTAACTGGAGATAAGAGTTTCTTGGGCTTGGGGAGATGGGAAGGGATGGGAAGGGGAAACAAAGGAGGAGGCAACAATGCTTGATAAGAAATGCACTCATTACCTTGCCCATGTAATTGTAACCCCTCTGTATGGTATTTTCACAATAAAAAAAAATGTAAAACCAAAAAAAAAAGAGTTTCATGGGCTTTCCTGCCCTGATTGGCTTTGAACCAGGATCCTCAGATCTTAACCTCCTAGGTAGCTAGGATGACAGGTATGAGCTATAGGTGCTTGCGCTCTCTCTCCTTTTTTTTTTTGGGTCCAGTCGTGGGGTCTGAACTCTGGGCCTGGGTGCTGTCCCTCAGCTCTTCAGCTCAAGGCTAGCGCTCTACCACTTGAGCCACAGTGCCACTTCTGGCTTTTTTCTTTTTGCTTATGTGGTGCTGAGGAATCAAACCCAGGGCCTCGAGCATGCAAGACAAGCACTCTACCACTGAGCCACCTTCCCAGCCCCTCTCTCTTTTCTTTCTTTTGCCAGTCCTGGGCTTGGATTCAGAGCCTGGGCTCTCTGTCCCTGAGCTTCTTTTGCTCAAGGCTAGCACTCTACCACTTGAGCCACAGCACCACTTCCAGCTTTTTCTGTTTATGTGGTACTGAGGAATCGAACTCAGGACTTCATGAATGCTAGGCAAGCACTCTACCACTAAGCCACATTCCCAGTCCTGGGCTCTCTCTTTATAAGGCATTAATTCCATTCATGAGGGCTTCACCTTTATATAATCTTAATAACCACCCATAGACCCCATCTCCTCACACTGTCTCTTTGTGGGTTGTGACCGCAGCATGTGAATCTGGGGTATTCGGGTACTTAGTCTGACATAAGTCCTCTATGTTGGAAAAGTTATGGGCAAAGGATCTTCTTTGAAGACCCTGGGTTTTTAGTGTTGAAAGCAAACTGTAAATACTTGTATTTGCTCTTGACCATAGCAACCCTCTGAGGCTCAGAAGGCAGGGAGTACTAGCTTTGTTTTACAAATAGAGAGGTAGGTATTGGAAGGGGGAGGGGGTGAGTAGGGTGGCTCTGTACAGTCTCAGGGTTGGAAGGGGCCTTCAAGGTCATCCAGTGTTACCATGAACCCCATCAAGAGCTCTCAAACATCCAGTCAGGTGACACCCTGGCTCCTCCTCTCCAGGACTGTGAGTCAGTGGGGCCTTGTGTGCCCTTGCACACAAGTGAGCTAATTGTAACACACAACATTTGATAGCCTCTGCCAAGAAGCAGATACACCTTCTTGTATTCAGCCAGCATTGTTACTGTGTGTGTGTGTGTGTGTGTGTGTGTGTATGCCCCTTTGTTTTATGTGGGGGCCAAGTAGATGTGGCTGATGTGATTAATATCTGGAGCCAATTCTCAAGGGTTTAATGGCTTAATAGGGAGAGATAAACGTTGGCAGGAAACTGCTAGTGCAGGATGCTTTGACGGTGCAGGGAGGCAGAGGGGAGCAGGGCCCTGCTTAGTGAGGCTGAAGACTTTGCTCAGAAGTTCAGGCTTAGCACAAGCTAGACTTGGAAAGAGAATTCTCCACCCTTCATTCAGGCAGAGGAACCTCCACAAAGGGAGAAAGTAGGGTCAAGCCAGAACAGAATCTGGACTTAAAGAAAGATGACAAGCTGGGTGTTGGTAGCTTGGTAGTTCACGCCTGTAATCCTAGCTACTCAGGAGGCTGAGATCTGAGGAGCATGGTTCAAAGCCAGCCCAGGCAGGAAAGTTCATAAGATTCTTTTTTTTTTTTTT